TGAAATAAAGAATAAGAATAAGCGCCGTGGGGACATGGCGCCTCTGTGCTAGACTTTATCAAATCGCATGGAAACCGCAAAACTTGTCTTATTGTGTGTGACTTCAATTCCCCGCATGTCAATTGGGACCTACTACACTGCCACCTTCTCCCCGAGTCCTTTGACGCCAGCCTCCTTGAAACTGTCCTCAAAACGAATCTCTCCCAGCATATAACATCGCCCACTAGGCCTCTTCCCGGCCTGACTCCGCACACTCTTGATCTTGTGCTCACTCCGTCCCTGGCAGATGTCTCAGAATTCACCCTTCTACCACCCATAGGTAAAAGCGACCATTGTACAATATCCTTCCTATGGACTCATCATCATCATCATACACGTTAGCTAGAGGTGGGGAACACCTCAGCTGCTGTGCCGCAATACACGGAGAAAAAAAAGGAGAGAAAAATAACAACTGGTGCAAGCTGGCTGAGCTACCGGTAACGGATGGGCATCGTTCCGGTAAGCTAACAGCCGGCTGCTATGCACCCAAAAAGAAAAAAAATATTATGCAAGATTATATAAAGTTAAATAATGAGATCGTGGTTGGAGGGGGAGGCTAAGAGGGATGGAGTGGGACAAAGAAACTCACAGCACGAACGCCACTGAGATCGGCTCCTAGCCATATCAGCAAGTGTGTCCAACCAAACGTGTTCATCGTCTTTCGGACCCCAACCAGGGAGCCGAGACGCTCCAACCGAGGCCAGCTCAGAAGTGAGGGCCTTCATTCCTCTGGACCAAGTCATCGCTTGGCCACCCCTCCTCTTCTTCCATCCACACCCCCGGCGCGCAAACAACGCACGTCGCGGAAGTCGGTGGGCTGGCATGCGTAACACGTGGCCGAGCCATCGAAGCCTGGTGCGTGAAATAACGGTTCTGAGCGGTTCATTTCCTTTTCCTGTGCCATAAACAAGGCGTCGAACACGATCGTTGCTCACGCGGTGTTCCCACCAGATGTGAGCAAAATTACGAAGGCACCGGTGGTCGAACGTAACTAGCCTCTTCAGGTCCGCTGCTTTAAGCGGCCAGGTTTCACAACCGTACAGTAGGGTCGAACGTACCGCTGCATTTTACACTCTACCCTTCAGGGTGAGAGTGATGTCGCGCCGGCGCCATAAGTGGCGAAGGTTAGCAAAAGCGCCCCGAGCTTTTGCTATACGATTCGTGATTTCATCTTCAATCCCATGGGCGCTGATACAACTTCCCAGGTAGTTGAATTTTTGAACGATTTCTAGCTGATCCCCACCAAGGGTGAGCGTAGGAGGCGGTCCAGACCAATCTTGGAGAAACGCTTTGCACTTCGAGGGTGCGAAGCAAAGCCCGAAGTGACGGACAGCTAGTGCTAATCTGTCCAGTGCCGCCTGACACGTTTGTGAGCTGTTTGTGAGCTGTCCTATGGACTAAACGTCTAGCTATCCAAACCGGGAGCGCACACCGTCGTAACTTCTGGCAAACCGACGCATTCAAGCTAAGGGCGGCAGCAAGTACGTTGGACTGGAATGTTCCACAACACTTGGAACTCGATGCTGCTTGGAACGATCTATTCCACAAATTGAAGCTGCTCATCGAGGAGGCCGTCCCATTCCACAGTAACAGTCCTATTTCTAAGGTTCCCCCTGGATCAACCGAGAACTCAGTGCCAACATGAAACAACGACGAAAACTATGGGACAGATTCAAGCTTTCCCGCTTAGACTCAGACTACTCTAAATACAAAGCCATCAGGAACTTCTGCTCCCTGCAGAAACGTGAAAAGAGACAACGATACGAGCATAGTCTGGCCGAACAATCGCTCTCTAGGCCAAAGATACTATTTTCATACCTTAATAGATTTTCCAAGGCGGGTGGCGGAATTCCTGCATTGTCTACTAATGAGCCAGGTATAATACACTATGATGATGACGCCAAAGCTGACCTCTTGGCTCTATAGTTCTCAGTATATACGAAGTGAGAGACTCGCAAACCCTCATGTACTTGCACATACAGTACCTCTGGAACATATCGATATCGATGCAGGTGCTACCTTGAAGCTACTACTAGAACTGAACTCATCTTCCTCACCAGGCCCAGACGGGCTACATCCACATTTTCTCAAGATGGTAGCAGAATTCATTGCCGTCCCACTTTGTCAAATCTTTCAGATCTCTCTTAAAGCTGGTCGACTACCTGTCGATTGGAAAACGGGTGTAGTTATGCCGAAACACAAAGGTGGAAACCGCCAGGACCCTGCGAACTATCGGACAATTTGCTTGACGTCGGTCGCTTGCAAGATCATGGAAAAGCTCATTAAATGTGCTATCCACCGACACTGCGAAGATCTGAACTTCACTTCAGTCACCCAGCATGGCTTCCGAAAGGGACATTCCTGCATCACCAACCTGCTGGTCGCTAGAGAGAAGTGGGCTAAATCAGTGACCGCTGGAAAACGTTTAGATGTGGTCTTCATCGACTTCAGCAAAACTTTTGACAGAGTCCCACATCAGGAACTACTCTCTAAGCTCTGCGAAATTGCCATAACAGGGAACCTCCTACTATGGATCAATGACTTCTTGCAAGGCCGGAACATTCAAGTCAAAGTAAACGATACCCTTTCATTCCCAGTGCCTATGTACAGTGGTGTACCACAAGGCTCCGTTCTCGGACCGGAATTGTTCAAGATATACATCAATGATCTACCATGTATGCTACAAACGGACTGTGTGATCTATGCAGACGACCTCAAGCTATGGTCGGAAGTGTCCAGCCTCGAAGATGCCGACCGACTACAGGAAACGCTTGATCTACTACACTCTTGGTCTATCAAGTGGGGTTTGCCGGTCAACAAAGATAAGTTCTCAGTCCTTTCTATAGGTACTGCTGAACCACTGGGCATCTATCACATTGGCGGGCACCTACTGAAGATTGCCACACAGGAAAAGGACCTGGGGACAATAATTTCCTCTGATCTCAAAACGACCCTTGACACGTTAAAGAAAACTGCTGCGGCGAACAGGATGTGGGGCGTCATAAGGAGATCATTCTCTAAAATGACGCCGCAGATATTTAGACTTTTCTTCACCTCCCATATCCGTCCCATTCTTGAATTCGGACTTCCGGCCATAGCCCCTTTATCTAAACATGAAAGTGACAAGATAGAAAAAATTCAGCGACGAGCCTCGAAATTTGTCCTTGAGCTACGCAAACTCCCGTACCCCACCCGACTACAGAGGATGAACCTTTTTCCCTTAGACCATCGCCGACGTCGCGGAGACCTCATCTATACCAGACGCATCCTACGAGGAGAACTGGGAAACGAGCTAAGGCAGTTTTTTCAGCTAAGACTTGGCAGCTCGACTCGAGGTCACAGCTGGAAGCTGTTTAAACCGAGGAGGTTCAAAGTCCGCTCAGATGTTGCTCTCTCTACTCGAGTAATTAATGACTGGAACCGACTGCCGGACCCGATTGTCAATGCGCAATCAGAGCCGAGTTTCAAACGTTTGCTAGACATCTTCCTACTGAGTACTCCAGGATCCTGCAGGACTGACACTACATCCTGAGCTATGACACAGCCAATTCGCCTGCAATACTTGGAAGATCGGGAAGCGAAGGAGCTGACACGGGACCTCCCTTCTGCTCTCTACCACTCGATGAACTCAATATACGTTGGTTTTTTCTCCAATGCTCACGATCCCAGCTATATGGGACCGTTAGGTTCAGTCACTCAGGTCTGGTAGGGTTAAGGATCACAAGCGTTCCTTGTAATTTGTGGTATCGGGTTCGGGCCTGTGTAAGGACCTCAGTAGTATCTTTAGCCCACACGCAACTGGTGGTGGTTGCGCGGCAGCAAAGCATCGGTACTGCGTACTGGCGTGTTGCTGATGCCTTGTATGCACGAAGCTCTACCTTCTTACTTCTACTTATGACGCAGATAGCGCACGGAGTACGCACCAGCGTCAACCAAAGCGCTGATACTAATTTTCATGAACGTCGACGCGTGCGGCATAGTGATCCCTCTTGTCTTAACTGTCAGACCAGTGGCTGTGTCGCTGTTAATGTTGGTGTGAACTTTGGTGGACCATCTCGCTTGTTCGGTCTATCTGCAGCACGTTAATTTATTTACAAGTACTCGCCTTCTCGGTCAGCACTGCGTCTTTAGCGAGCGCTTGAAAAGTGGTTTGTGGTGGTGGGGAAGAACAGCCACTCCTGATTCACTCATTAGGTCCTTTTCGAGGCTGCTTGATGTCGTTAGTGGACACCGATCTGATCGATGACTTCTTACACAACTAAGTCCCGTATTGCTAACTGGCGTCTGGTTAGACAGATGCATCCAGCCGGTTGGGTGTTTGCACACTCACATAATACGAAGACAGACATGTTCCTTACAGAGACATGCTGGTCGCGCCTCATAGCATGCTCCACTTCCGAATGACCAATGGAAACAGTTGACAAATCAAAAGCAACGGTGCTTTTGGGGGTCAATTTTGGACTAGACGTTGTGTGCTTGGATTGCGACGCTCAATCTCGATGTGAACCGCGATTCACATTGAAGTGAACCTTAGTCACTGTGATCACTGGGACCGTAGTCAAAGCAGATGGAAATTGGGTGTGAATCGCGGTCCACATCGAGATTGCGCGTCGCAATCCCATCACACAACGTCTAGTGCAAAATTGACCCTACAATTAGTCATTTACCGATGTGCCATGCGTTGCCCGCCGTGACCCGGTAGCCAAAAGGGTAGAGGTTTCGGCTGCTATTCTAGTGGTCGCGTATTCGAGACCTGCTATCTCCACCTGATGAGGTGAAATGACATCGAAACGCGTCGTGATTGTGTAGTGTTTCCGGGCGGGCAACACGCAATTTCCATCAACGGTGCTTTTATTTTTCATAGTGCCATCGCCCATTCACTTATCTCCGGTCTGTCTGTTAGGTCACGTTTGTGTTCCAGATGTTAGGTAACCAGTTACTACTGATGTTTTATAGCAATGATGCCCGCCCACCATCTCGGTGCTCCACGGCAGCTTTATCGGTATTCTAAGTTGGCTTTCGGACTTTCTTCCCTGTCTGCTGCGCGTTATGTCCAGCAATTCCGTCCATCTCCTGTTCTCCAGTCCTGTGTCGACTCCAATGATCCGAAATATCAAGTTTGTTTTGTATTTAGTGTTCATTCAATTTTATCACAGGAGTCTCTGCATGCAATGCGTCATCTGGTTGTTGACCTGCGGGAAAAAGTCTCTCAAATATCGTTAGGTGAGTTGTGTACACTGCCACAAAACTTTTGAAACATTTACATTTGCTAATGCATGTATAGAGTTCCTTGTGAGAATACATTTTCTGTGCCTGCCGCAATCGCTTCGCAGCCGTTTTTATCTTGACTCAATAACTATGGTGTTTGGGTCCTGTTTTTTGCTTATATCACCAGGCCATTAATTTGTGGCCCACTACTTTCATAGAACAGCTCACGCTGAGTAACATCCATCTACCCATTTGTCACATTTGTGTTGATTACTCTGTGGCAGATAAGTCGTTTGGTAACAGGAAGCTAGCGCTTTTCATGTATACGCCTAAAATATTAACCTATCAGAAATACCAACTCCACCACATTCGGCTTTTAGAATGCCATTAGTATGCTTAGCCTGCGATTAATTAATCTTATTTTGAATTACAGTTTGCTCGGTGGCTATCTCTAGTCCCTTTGATTATTGAGAGCGCACTCCAAGTGAGATTAATTTCTACGAAGTTATCGGTATTTCTATTGCTTCTTGAAACAGTGTAGCGGAAATTTGCGAGTTCTGGTCATTGGAGATCACTCGCACTCATGACGACCTATGAAATAGAGTAAAAAGAGGGAGAGAAGGGGGACTTACCTGAAAACCTTAATGCCCTAAGCAAACATTCAGGATCAAGGCGCCTACACCTTGTGTAGACAACATACCGTCACAAACAGCTGGCTATCGTGCAAAGATAAGGCGGCATCGGCGAGACAGCTTCCTTGCGGCTTCCACTGCCACGCGTCATAAGCAGCCATTACCCCGCAGATAACTCAGCACCAAACACACTTTAAACAGACAATCCGATTAGGAGACGACAGCAGACGCGCCACTGGTGTCGGTTGCGAGCCATGTCCTGTAAAGTCTCGAGCCAAGCACAAGGCGACTCACGTGGACTCCAGCCTGGAAGGCGAGACGGACCAACGGTACCCAGTTTAGTTGTCACTGACTTCATTTCCCGCTGCCAAGTCAACTTCTGTCCACCGCGAGCCTTGCGCCATCCTACACCTGGCAGACTAAACAAGGCCCTCCTCGGTAAGCGGTGACCAGGCATACGTAGCACGTGCCCGAGCCAACGCAACTTATTCAGTGCTATGTGTTGTTCTAAGGAGCTAGCATGATTGTCACTACCTAGTACTCGCCTACGAACATCATCGTTGCGGACATGCTGGTGCCATTTGACTCCAGCAATGCTTCCCAGACAACGATGATCAAAGACTTGAAGGCGCCTCAGATCTTCAGACCGAAGGGGCCAAGTCTCACTACCATAGAATAGAACGGCCCTCACTGTGGCCTTGTATACCCGGCCTTTCAGACTGAGGGAAACTCCCTTCTATCGCCAAAGATGTCGCAGGTTCAAGAAGGTAGCTCTGACTTTTGCAATGCGTGAGCTCACGTCAGTTCCTATGCACCCATCATTGCTGTTGCAGCTGCCAAGATAAGTGAAATGACCAAGAACCTCGAGTTCCTCGTTAGCAAGCCTCAAGGGGTCATAAAATGGCTGGTGGTCCTGCAGCAACACTTTGCACTTTGAAGATGCAAAGTGCATACCAAATAATGGGACCACTCTAGACAGGCTATTTAGGGTTGATTGGGCCGCCCCAACATCGTGGAAAAGCAAGACGATATCGTCCGCATAATCTAGATAAACTAACCTTTCACCATGCCGCACTTCAACGCCCACATCATGAGATTCCGCAATGGACCACTCCATGATAGAATCCACGACGAAATTGAACAAAAATGGGTAAATCGGGCAACCCTGACGTCGTCCGCATACTCAAGGTTTGGCAACCATTCACTTGGTAGAACTTCCACTCCGGTCGAGTCTGACATTTTCTTCAAACATAAACTTCATCTTGCATCGGCCGTCGCGCAGATTATCAAGGGTCGCCTTATCTGCTGCATACAGCAGGGCGGATAAGCGAAAACATGCTACTGCTGGCGCCTCCCTTCTTTCTTTTCCACCTTTTTCTCTTACTCCCATCCCGGCCTCTATTACTAACCTTCCTTCTATAATTCCCAGCTTAATTGACAGCAACCGAAGTGCTACTGGAGTAGAACCATCTGCAGCCACCATCCCACAGCACCTATCGGACGCCTATCGGCAAAAGTCCCTTTAAGGCCATGCTGTCCCGTTTCCATGGCGACATTCAACGTCCGCACTCTAAGACAAACAGGTCAGCAGGCTGCACTTGCACGCACCTTGGATACACTGGGTGTTGATGTGTGTTGTGTGTCCGAAACTAGGATTAATGACCCTAACGGGGTTATTGAATTGACTGCACCCGGCTTATCCTCTCGTTATTGGTTGCACGCATCCGGGGACGCCGATGCGGCACTCACGGGTCAAGCTGGTGTAGGTATCATTCCAAGCTGCAAGGCAGAGTCATCGTTGGTTGATTGGATTCCGGTGAACAGCCGTTTATGTGCAACCCGTTTGACGACATCAGCTAAGGTGAATTCGCGAAATTAAACAAAACGCTGTTTGTTTGTGATTTCCGATTATGCTCCCACCGACTGCAGTTCTAATGCAGTCAAGGACACTTTCTATCACGAACTGAACACGCTGCTACGCAGTGCTACTAGTTCAGATATTATAGTATTTGCAGGGGATATGAACGCACAAGTAGGGCGTCTGAGCTCTTCAGAAGCTCAGCTGGGTGGTAAATATGGACTTAACGCCGAACGGACTGACAACGGCGAGCGTCTGCTGCAACTGTGTGCGGAGCACCAGTTGTTTCTTACTAGCACTGCTTTTAGACACAGTGAGCGCCGAAGTGCCACTTGGCGTCCACCTGTAGCTGGCCAGCGATGGACCCAAATTGACCACATAGTCATAAGTTACAGGTGGCGCGGTTCCATTCTGGATTGCCGCTCGTACTTGCGTACCTGTGTCGACTCTGATCATGCCTTGGTGCGCTGTCGTTTCTCCATGAACTTTACCGGAAGGCGCACAAAGCGTCTCCCCCGATTGGCAACGGAGAAATTGTCCCAGCCCTCGGTCAGGCAAGCCTATCAAGAAACACTGCATAGCGAACTCTCGCTCTCTTGTCCTAATGACACTGAACTTCAGTGGAATAGGATCTCGGCTGCCATGCACGACGCAGGAGCATCTGTTTGTGGCACTATTAATCGTCACCGCAAGTCACTGGATATCCGAGAGGTCCGTGAACCTGTTGGAAGCTAGAAGACACCTCCTGGCTGGTTCTGAACACAATGTGACCAGACGGGCTATTAGGCGTGAACTAAAGCGGAGCCTACGTGCTGACAAGGAAGCCTGTTGGACCAGTCGGGCTCAAGAATTGGAGGAGGCAGGAGCAGTAGGCAATTACCGGAAGCTCTTCCAGCTAATCCGCACCAATGGTCCCAGAAAACCAGGCGCCAGTGAGACAATCAGAGACAGCGCGGGTGCGCTGATACACAATAAGGAGCGCCGTATGGCTCGTTGGGCTGAACACTTTGAAGATCAGTTCAGCTGGCTCCCTGCTCCCGGGCCTCTTCCTACTCAGGTGATGCAGGACGTGCAATGAACGGTTAGCTTAGAGCCTCCGTCGGAGGCCGAAGTCCGGAACGTGATCACAGCCCTTAATCGTTTTCATGCCGCTGGTCCGGATTCCCTCCCACCTGCACTATTTAAGGATGGAGGTGGGGTCCTCTGCAAAGCACTGACTTCCCTATTCGAACGTATCTGGAACGAAGAGAGCGACCCGGCTAATTGGAGCGAATCGATTATAGTGGCAGTATACAAGAAGGGCAGTCGCACAGACTGTGCGAATTACAGGGGTATTGGCCTAACGCCAGTTGTGACAAAATTACTGGCCTCGATTATCGTTCGTCGCCTCACTGCAGAACGGGAATCTCGGATTAGGGAAGAGCAGGCCGGTTTCCGCACAGGACGTCTGTATAGACCATATATTTACTTTGCGGCAGGTGCTAGAGCAGCGCCACGCATACCGCAGACCGACAATAGCTGTGTTCTTCGACTTCAAGAGTGCGTTCGATTCAGCGTCATATATATATATATATATATATATATATATATATATATATATATAGTTTCATCCGGTTCCGGACTTGCCTGTCACTGCGGCCTCCACAGGACGCTTGCGCCTACAGAGTGACCATGGGTGGCTTGCGCTGCACCACCACTGCTCCATCCACACACGCCATATTCAGTGCATACCCGAAGGAATAAAACTGGGGGGCGTTTGTATGCAAGCCACGTTTCGTCAACGGAACTTGCCCACGCTCCCTCAACATGCATAGCAGCAGCATTCCTGTCTATCCATGGAGGAAATCGTGCACAAGGCGGTGGTTGGACCGTAGACCGCTCCACACTGGATGGGACCACTAATTGAGTCTTGCACGGCTACGAAGACCGTGCACCGCGACCCCCAGCAACGATTCACGATTTTCTGGAACCAATAATCATGTTATGTAGGATGTTAGACATATAGACACCTTGTCAACCTTCACATCAAGCGCAGCCACACCGGGGATCTCAAACAGGCAACATAGGATTTAATGGAAAGCAGACACGCAAAATTGACAGAATATGCCGAAAAATAGAACTAAACAAATCACTTATGTGGTATAATTTATAACCAGATTACAAAGATCTAGTTTAATTGTAAGTCGTTTTACACACGCTATTTTGTGCTTTTTTGTGGTTTTTAATCGCTAGTGTTTTTGTAACCGTGAGTTCAGGCGGATTTGTATGCCTTCTTTCCACTGTCACCAGTTTTGCGCCATTGCTTCCAGCATTGTGAGAAATTGGCATTCTTCATCTTTGGGTCCCCAGCTGGGGAGTCGAACGGGACCAGCGATGGCCAAGCGAGATATCATTGATTTCATGCATCGCCGCCAGGTGAACTGTTGACCTCCACGCGGCTTTTTCCAAAGTAGCCCTGCTTGCGCAAACATGGCGCAGCGTAGTAAACGCTCTTTAGGTATGCGCGCAGGACGTGGCCATACCAT